TACGGATTTGTATAGGCTATTAAAACAGAGAGAAAAAGGTCAATGGGCTCATCCTTATGTCCTGATTGCCACAGAGTAAAGTTGCCTTACTAACCATTTTTGATGGACAGGTCCTCTCAACATTGTCCCATTTTACTATCCTCCCTCTGTTGAGGCAGCCTGAAGTCAAATTTAGGTGTTCTTGTATAAAAGCAGTATTTGCCCTCTTAACCTGACATGAAACTTCCCATGTGGACAACCTAGGGTGTCAATGATGATTGTGTGACTTATGCAGTCAGGGGCTGGGAACTACCCAGACTGGTTTGTAAATCTGTTGCAGGCATGCCCCCTCCTACATCTGGTTTCTGGGTAGTGTGGCACTATTATCATTTCTGCAAGAGGGACTACACATGTGCTTGGGGGATCAGAACCTCACAACTCCCAGCAACTGCAGAGCCTCAAAAGACAGTGCCCTCAATTCCCAACCCTTAGCCATGCCACCTGGTGATAATGAAAGATGAATCTCAATGGCCTGGCTGCCTTGTTCTAGAATGACAGTAGGGTTCTGAGCTAGACTTCTCTCCTAATTATCTTGCCAAGGGTCAGTGCAGAGCTATTCAGCTTCCGCAGGATGGCTGCTTTGGGGTCATTGGGCAGAACCTGCACAGAGCAAGGTGGAAGGTGGCAACTGAAGGAGGGAGGGGGGTAAGTCAGGGCAAGGAATACAGTAGCTGCTCAGAGAGACCACTTAGCACCAAAGCAGTCAAGAAGAGGAACAAAGCCTTGGAGTAGCTTATTGGGGGCCTTCAATGCCAAACCTCTGAAAAATGTAGGCCATTTTTTCATAGGAATATCAATCTCCCTAGCTCCTATAGCTCAAGGAGATCAAGAGATCAATATTCCTGTAGCAATAAAAAAAAAAAAAACTGATACTCACCTGCCTCCCCCCAGAAAAGGGAAATTAAAAAATCCAATCCCAAGCCAATTATGTAAACAAATACTGGCTGGTAGAGCCTAAGAGGGACACTGATTGAAGGGTCAGGAGGCATATCACACATTCAGGAGCTCATCTGGAGTTCGCTTTTCCCACCAGTCTATGACAGTCTATGGATGGGAGGGGAACAGATGGTAGGGAATCCAACAATCATTACCCTGAGACTGTCCCACAATAAAAACCAAGAAGATAGCAACATTGGTCAACCTTGCTGCTGAACTGCAGTGTTGACATATTTTTCTCCCAACACAAGGTGGCATATTAAGGCAGCTATGTGGATGAGCCCCATATGGCAATCCCACTATTTTTTAACAAGCTGGAAACCATTAAACCCACCCAGCTCCCCCAAAAACTCTAGTGTATTGCTCTGTCCCCAGATTTAGCTGAATTTGGAAGCAATGATCATACAGTATGAGTACTTAAGCCTTTATTCCAAGGCAGTACAAGAAAATAACATATCATAAGACAGCAATCAAAGAATATTCAAGAATATAATAAGGCAAAGAAAGAAAGACCTTTTGCCTCTTCTGCCAGTCATGGAACCCTAAGGAGATGACATTGGGCAGACCCTCTTCAAAGCCAGCAGACATGCGGCACCCTCCTGATTCGATGATTATCAAAGTTCCATCCCATGGGCAATTTTGATTAGCATATATAGGCCCTGAACCCTAATTAAGCACACCTGCTTTTCAGTGGTCTCATCTCACAGGATTTTACCAAGGACAAGGAGGACAAGCCTATCTTATCTAGGAATGCTTTGCTCTCCTGCCAAGAATGAGACCATCAAGGCTAAGGAGCTTTTGTTTATACCAGGTGGCCATGAAACCATCTCAAAGTTAAGGAGTCTCTATTCTCAAGATTAATGGGATTGAAGATGAGAAAGATCATCCTACTCTACAAAGGTGTCTCACCAAGGACAGGCAGTATAAAGTGTAACCCAAATATAACCCATTAGTGAGTAAAATAAAGGCTTGTTTAACTCTATTGCATACTTGACTATTACATGAAAATATAAAGTTCCATGCACCTAAGAGGTACATACCACTATCAAATTCCTCCTCACCAGTTTTCTGGTAAAACCACCAGCACCACGTCTAGGACAAAGAAAAAGAAAGAAAAAATAAAATAAAAGTAAATTTCATAAGAAGAAACTAAAACAAAATACCTCACAAAGTGTGTATAAAATTCGATTGCATTATTGTAAAGATGCCAAGCACCAGGGAAGAAGAGTGAGAGGAGGTTTCTCCTGCAGCATTGGGAAAAGTGATTTGAGATGACATAAATTGCTTCCTTGAGGAGAATCATGTTGCCTCTTTGCTTCAATGAAGAGAGTTATGCTGCCTCTATGGCACAAATCTTTTCATCAAAGCAAATCTAAGTCACTCTGCACTGGCCTAAAATATGTAACAAATATAGCTGGAGAATCATTTTCAACAGTGAAATAATCACTATCTTAGGATCTGTAGACATTCCAGCTAGGACATTTGTTCAAATGTGTCAAAAGCCATCACCAAGCACCTATAAGCCCTTGATGTTAATCCATATTTATGCAGCACTTGTCATGTGCAACATATTTTACAAGCCATGTCTCATTCAGCTTCTTTAAGGGTTATCATTACTTTGTCAGTGCTACAAAGATTTTTTCTTTAAACTGAGAGATCTGACTTGCTCAAGGCCACTCAAGGAATCCTTGTCAGAAGTGAAAATTAATCTGAAGCCTTCCTATCCCTGAGTTTTTTCCACCACCCAGCAATAGAAATGAAGTTAAATCTGTGGTAAGTTTTTCTGAGGGCAAGCATCCTCAGAAAACAGAGGTGATACTTCACATAATAATTTAAATCACATCCAAGTTGCTGTTTAATCTTTGCAAGAATGACCTGTTTAAATTAAAATACAAAATCAAAATTCAGCCCACTTTACCTGTAGACATGGTAGTCATTTCAGATCTGGGGGGAAAAAAATCTTTCTTTTTGAGAGACATGCCCTGAGAACAGGGGCAACTTGATACTTACAATCAGAATGCTTCAAAGAGGCACAAGCTGTCCACATGTCAGGAATTCCCTGCCTTGCTGCATCACAGCCAAACCATTTAAGAAGCCCCCTAAACATTCTGGGTAGCATTTGGAAGGGACAGAAAAGTTAATTTCCTAGAACTCCTTTCTGTCAAGTTGGTTCTAGATGTCATCCTTGGTTTTTATGTTTTCATTTAAGTAGAGCCATTTGTGCAGGATAATAGTTCCAACTTTTTTTCTCTCCTTTCCTTTTCTTTCTTCTGCTTCCCACTCCACCCCACCTTAGAGAGTGAAATGTATCTAGTAAAATAGAATCTGTAAGCAATCCTTCCCCAGCCAAGAGGTTCCTTGATGCACTGGAGTAAAACTCCCAGTATTCTCAGCCGGCACAAATCTTAGGCAAGCTGGTTGGGAGTGGTGGGAAGTCTATGCTAAGAGACATAGCTAAAAACTGTGTTTGTTGCGCAATGCAAAGTTTCCAAAATTGACAGGGTAGGTACAAAAAAGATAGGTAGGTCTTCAAAGTTCAAACCTTCATAAAAGTACACAGGGGACATTTCTTTGTGATTCCTGGCTTTTTCCTCCTGAATTCTGAAACGGAATTTTCTGTGACTGCAGTAGTTGTGCACACTCTATGAGTATTTATTGATTTATAAAAAAAACCAGTCCCACTTCTTCATCACTACAAACCATCCCAAAGCAGGGTTTTTGTTTCCTTTCTAGAGAATGTGAACTCCAGTAAGAATTAGTAATTAGTGTCTGTGGGTACTCTCTGTTGGAATAAGCAGAGGATGAAAATCCCAAAAAGAAATAGAATTAAAATGTCTTGTGCAATGTCTCACTGTTGCCAGCAGGTGACTCCATTAGCACTATTCATTTACATTTTAAAGGGGGATGGGTCAAGAACCAAATAGAGCAAGAAAAATAATGCTTTTGATGTGTTATGCCTCTTTACATATGCAGAATATAGGAGAAGAAGGGGACAGTATAGAGTATATAATAATTGCTGTGGCATATATTTCAGCTGTGGAATATATTTTTAGTGCAGGCCAGTTTCCAGACAATCACTTAGTTTTGGGGACTTGTCAGACTAGCTAAATTTTGGCTTTTAAATAAGTAATACAAAGCCATGAATGCTTAAACTAATTAACCATCTCTTAACCACTGAACAGTCCTTTCTGAAGCTGCACCTTTTTTAATGTAAGACAAAATGCATCAGATCATGAAAATCTTGTATGTGAAAGTATTTGTGTATATGTTTGATGTCAACCAACATTAAGAAAGTGAATTAGATATACTGAAACCTTTTTTCCTGAACTATTAAAAGCCACTGCTATTAATTTACTATCCTGCATTTGCAGCTGTCTTAAGCAGGGGCTCAATCTTGGTTTGAAGTCCTTAACTGCAAATCTCCCAGGAGGGAAGAGGATTTTGGAATAATTAATTCCACTTTTCAAGTTCTTCCTGCAATGTAGAATCCACTTGTTTTCATTGGTATGGCTAAGTCCCTCCCAACTCAACAAATGTGAACTGAAATGTGAATTAGAACGGCTCAAACAAAGTTATTAAGAGCAGATCTTAGCAGGCATACAGATGTCTCCACTTATCCTGTTTATTGCTTTTGCAGCTACAGAGAGGGACCATAACATTTTTTTTCAACAAGTGCAGAAGAACTTTTTAAAGAAATAGGGGATTTTTTCCCCTCTTAAATCCTGGAAAACCTAGGAAATCCAGAAAATGTGCCATAGCTTGCACCCACTTTACTGGAATTAGTGACTCTGGCATTTTGTAAGCAAGTGACAACTTTCCTGAATTAAATCAAAGGATATTTTGCTCCCAAGTTTTACTCCACAGGCAAACTGGATTAGCTGGTGTCACTTTATCTTAACCAGCAGATATCTGAAACTTTTAAGTACAGTGAAATGTCAATTGAGAAAATTGAACTGGACATTTTATCTCCAGAAGAAGCGGATGGCAGATGTGCTTCACAGCCAGAGCTTAATGAGACCAAATTCAGCAGTTCACATGTGGATTGGTACAAGCATGAACTTTATTCTTCAGTCTCTTTACCCAGTGGTAAGCGCCTTACTTTACATTTTATTTTTGGGTGCCATCTTGTATCTAACAATGGAGTGATATGTAGACTTAAATATATAGTAGGCTTTTCACCACCAGTATTGATGGCTGTCAAAACAGGTATAAGCTGGCTGTAAGATCATGATTGAATAATTGCAGGATTTATATCTTGTGACATCTGTTTTATTTAAATGGCCACATTTTAAATGTATTTATAGGAACTGTACTAATCTGAATTCCAGTTCAATGAATGCAGCTGACCTGTATTTACTTAGTGCCTTTCCCATTACGCAATATGTATGCTCTTTTCATTGGTGGGTGCTGATTCACTCTAGTGATGTTAACTCTGCCAATCAGAAAATAATGTGATTCCTTGTTAGTAAATAGCTGGTGTCCATCTATAGAAGGTACTTCTCTTTGAACTTATAAGAGGAAGGAAGGGAGCATGGGCTGATAATGGCACAAAATAAGGTTATTCACACTGCCACTTTGCATATTTTCAAATGAGATGTCAGTGCATCTTTACGTTTATGGCATAAGAAATATCCTTTGTTTTCTGGGACTGTAAGTCTGGCCCTGATTGGGCCTCTCATGTAACAGTGCAATCCTATTCATGTATGCCCAGAAGTAAACCCTCATGAGTTCAGTAGATCATATGGTTCAATGTATAAAATTGACACTAAGGTCTTGCGAGCCATCGGGAAAAGGAAGGGATAATAGAGGTCTTCCTAACGGTAGGGCTCCATCAATATTTATAATTGAAATTCACATGTCTTGATTCACTTATACAATAATAAATTTCTTAGTCTTGAAGACACCACAGAGCACTTTGTTTTTACACAGGTTGCCTGATCTGAATGGCAAAAATACAACCCTCAATAGCAGCAATAGGTAAATGTTTTTTATATATTTTTGCTGTTGTCAAATGGTTATTTGGCTTTTGACAGCTGCAACTAGATCTGGTACTTCTAGTTGTTACTGCAAAGACTATTTTGCCTATGATGTTGGCAACTTTTGGACTATTGCAATGAGATCTATTCTTGAAAAGCATCTGAAAGCTGCAGCTGGTGCAGAAGGTGGCAGTGTGGACAGTTATGGGTGCCTCTAGGGCTGTGCATGTAATACCTCTGCTGTGGAAGCTGCATTGGGTGTCGGTCTGCTTTGGGATCCAATTCAAGGTATTGGTTATGACATTTAAAGCTCTTCATGGCATGGGCCCAAGTTATCTGGGGAACCATCTCATCCCAGTTACATCAGCAGGAAGGGCATGCCACGGACCCCACTGGCTAAAGAATTTCAACTGGCGGGGTCTAGGAGGAAAGCCTTTTCTGCCATCGCTCCCATCCTGTGAAATATCTTGACCCCTGAGATGAGATTGGCCCCCACTCTTCTGGCCTTCTGGAAGAGCGGTAAGACCTGGCTCTGACAACTAGCATGGGGATCCAATGGGGGTTCACAGCACTAGGGGTGGCTGGTAGCTTGAGGACACTCTCTCCGTCTTTTAACTTTGTATATTTTTGTTAGATTTGTACTGTTTTTGTGGTTTTTATTTGTGAGCCACCTAGAGTTACTCGTATAGTGAGATGGGCACCATATAAATTTGATTTATAAATAAACAAATAAATAAACAAACTTTGGACTAAGTCCCTACACAGATGTATCACATATACATATTGTTTCCTCTCAACTTCATCTGAAAGTTTAAAATACAGTGCATTGAAATGTCAGTTGAGAAAACTGAAGTGGACACTTTTTCCTTAGAAAATAAATTATAGTTGTCTTGCCAGTGTATTATTGTATTCACACATTAGTAATTGAGTTTGCTGTTCATACGGCTGCCCCATTCACTTATACATCAATGAACTGTTCTCCACTATTTCTATCCTATTCCAAATAATAATAAAAAAACAAGGAATAGAGGGAAGATACTTTAAAAAGGAAGTGGAGAATCACAATTATTCTTTCTTCTTCACTCACTTCTCTGCTTGAAATTGTGACACCCAACACTGATTTCAAAATTGTGGACTTAGGCCAATTGTTCAAAACTGTGGACTTAGGCCAATTGTTTTAAAATGTGAGTAGAAAGAAGTCCTTATTGAAGACTGAAGTTAATACAAATATACTTCCCCCAAGGAATTTTTAATTGGGAATCCCCTTGAATCATCATATTTATTAATTATGTATTGTTTGTTAGCCATCTTGCAAAGCAGAATTAAATCTAAGACCCTACTCAATACAATATTTAAAAAAAAAAGAGTAATAAGGACAACAATTCCTGTCTACAAGGTGTACTTTGAAGAATATCATAATTTTTGTTTGTGTTCATATGTATAAAATACTTTCAGTTCTATTCAGGTGTTTTCCAAGCTTGGTTACTGAAAGAAACAAAATGGTTTATACATGGTTTAACATTGTGCCGTGCTTCTCTCTGCTGTAGTATGAAGCTTATTTCATGATGTGTGTCGTCTCACTTGATTCACAGGAGACATCTGCAACTGACTTATGTTTGCACTTGATGTATAATCTCTTGTTACCTGAGGAAGTACAAGCAAATTAATCATATAACACCTGAATGTAAACAAGGTTCTACTTACATCTAGTGGGAAGAAAAACAAGCGCACAGGAATAGGAAATAATTCTAAAGCATAGCTAGCATGTGCTTATGGAAATCACAAACAGTATATAGATGGGTCACATTCCAGTAAACTTTCCTTAGCTTCTTCTTTTTTCTTTTACTTTTCTGACTTTAAACATATACTGTACATTATGAGTATTTATCATCAAACAAAAGGAACCCTCTCATCCAAAAAGAGCATAGAGGTAGACATAAATAAAAACATGCAAAGCAATTAAATAGAGATATGTAGATTTAGAGATATTTCAATAGAAATGCAGTACATCTCACATTATTGTAGTGAGAAAGGCTGTGAGGTTCCCCGATTGTCACCCCATGACTTGTCCAAGTACGGTTGATGGGTCCTGTTCTCCCTTCTTCTTTTTCTTTTTAAATCAGACTAACAGCCCGTCAAAGAGTGGGCACATTCCAATTGAAGAATGTCCTATATAAAGCAGGACAAGCAAAGTACCTTTGTTTTAAATGAAATTAGTGTTTTATGCTTGTTGGTAAAAAAAAAAAAAAAATGAATGTCAAAGCCCTACTAATATCACTGTACTTGATATTATCTAGATAACAGAGAATAGGTATAGAGAAGTTTATTTAATTTACATGAATGTCAGCATTTCCCCAAAACATAATAAAATTCAAAGATACCTGATACTGACATATCAGGTATCTTTGAGATGGCATTTTCAATTAAAAATGCAGACAAAATGTATATATTTGAAAAGGGAAAAGAATGTTCATAAGTGATTGTTAAGCTTTGCAATTAGGTTTAACTTTATGTAATTTTTATCTGAATGGTCATACCAGTGAAGAGCAATCACATTTTATGGATTTTTATTTTAATGTCATTTCTCTCTTTATGTACATAACTATTTGAACCATTTTCATGACCACTAGAAAATCTGGGCTTCATCCATTAAGAAAAATGGGACTCTTGCATTAAGATCAGGGCGTTCCTTAGCCTGCTATCTCATATTTTTATTGATTTTTTTTTCTTGACTGAATTATACTTACTACAGTAAAATAAGCTTGCAAAGAAGTCATGGACCTATATATAATATCTAAAAAGGAAATTGCAGAACACTGGAGTGGAAAGTAACCTTGCTATGCCATCAGTACTGAAAGACATTGTATCTTTCATGCTAGGATGTGTGCATGAGTGAAGATTTGAATCTTTGAAGCCTAATAGTAAAGAGATTAATTTCTGTAATGGTATGCATGATGGCAATTAAAACTGTCTCTTACTTCATGTGACTTGATAATGAATAAATAGACCTAACAGATCTGGCATGCAAACATTGGGAGAACCACTAGAAAGCACCAAAGCATTTGAGTGTTTGGTACATCTCTCCTGCCATCTAGTGATCTTCCAATTCTTTGTATCCCAGCTCTTGTTACCCTACAGTAGAACAACTCTGAACTTAATAAGGGCACTTTAATAATTTCAGGGCCTACTGTTCTCTCCTAGCTGCTTTAACACATTCTGTCTGCCTCCTTACTTCCAGTTTCTCCTTCAGATTTTGCCATGTGGCTGCTGCTGGTTTTATTTCTGAATGCCATCACATTATTACACTTACATGCGCACACTAACTCATGTTAATGGTTTCTAATGGAATTGCTATTTTTGATATATGTAAGTAATTGCTGATCATTTCTCAGTGTCTGGAGCCCTAATTTTAAAATCTTTATTTCTGAAAATCATTCTAAATTGGCTTTTAAGGCAGTCACTGGATCACTAGAAAGAAAGGACTGAACAGACAGTTATGTATCTTTCAGCTCCTATACGATGTCAGTGAGTTGCTAGCCAGTGAACTATCTATCTATCTATCTATCTATCTATCTATCTATCTATCTATCTATCTATCTATCTATCATTACTTATTATACATGTGACATATTTCATCTGGTAACATACTCCCCTTTGGGGCCTAGCACCTCTAGGTAGAATTATCCTCACAACCTTTATAAAGAATAATCCATAGTATTTTGATACTACTGAATTAATAATCATCATATCCGTTATCAGAAGCAAGACTAAAAAACCTGCTACAACTGGAACTTTCAGTGCTGATCATTGTAATTGCCACTGTTTAAATCAATTTAAAAGAGCCTGCTGTACCTTAGTAGATCTTTGTATCATCTGTTAGACATGGCTTTATCTTAAAGAGTCCCTCTCCCTTTGACGGACTATAAAGTAGGCTCTTTGCCAGAGATAATTCAAAGCTCACACAGAGGTCTGACACACTGAGTCACTGCCCTCTGCCCTCAAGGTTCCTGACTTACACCCTCACATGGCTAAAACTAGATGGAAACTAATCTGGATATAGAAGTTCAATATTTCCCAAGGGTACAGTATTTCTTGCATGCTCTTCCTTCT